AATAGTAATAACAATTATAATAGTAATATTTCTACTAGTATAAATATACCCCTTTGGTAAATGTAAAGTATATCAAGTTTTACTTTGAAAGATAGGAAAATATCATTTCACTTCCTTCATCATTTTCTCATAAATATTATATCTAGTTTTTCAACTAAGTTAGATTCAAATATCTAGTTTTTCTCAACACGTTATCAGCACGATCGTTTCTATCGGAAGTTTTTATTACACTAGGTAGATATTCTATACTTATCTCTTTAATCTTATTATTACTGTTATTTGCCCCGGTTATAGAAAACTAACAACTTGTCAAGTGCTCTATAATAAGTGTGGTTATTCTTATTATAAATTGTGTGTGGAGGTTTAAAATCCCATATGCAATTACTAATTTTTATATTTAATAGAAGTCTGAGACTTCATATGCAATTACTAACTTTTATATTTAATGGAAGTCTGAGACTCCATATGTAATTATTGACGTTTATATTTAGTGGAGGTTTAAAACCCCATATGTTGTTACTAACCTTTATATTTATTGAAGGTTTAAAAATCCATTTATTTTTACTAAATTTTATATTTAGTGGAGGTTTAAAATCTCATATATTGTTCCTAAATTTTATATTTGGTGGAGGTTTAAGACCCCATATATTGTTACTAAATTTTATATTTGGTGGAGGTTTAAGACCCCATATATTGTTACTAAATTTTATATTTAGTGGAGGTTTAAAATCCCATATACTGTTACTAAATTTCATATTTAGTGGAGGTCTAAAATCTTATATGCATATTTTTTAATCATATGTGCTCATATTATCTCATAATTTTCTCTATCACTTATAATTATTAGATGAATTTTAACACACTTAAGATTTGACTAAATAACTTGTAACACAATTAACCTTTTCTTTTTCTTTTTCCCTTTTTCCAACGGTAACTACAACGGTCATTTTACAAAATCATCTCTATAAATACTTCAAATTGTTTCATAACTTTCACATCATTCTCAAAATATTTATCTATATTTTTTAAATGGCTAAATTTCTTATTTTGGTCATCACTCTACTCGTCATTATTTTGTTTCTTATGGGTATTCTCATTTGTGAAGAATTAGGTAATGATTTGTAGTTTTGATGATAATTATCGTTTTACCATTACTAGTCATAGCTTGGTTTATCAGTAAAGGTTTTTGAAAAATATATAATCATGGATTTTGTAATTGAATAAATTGATTTTGTTTTATTTATGCATTAAATATTGATTATGTTCATCTGAATTATAGATGTAATCATGTCAAATCTTAAGCATCAATTTAAAATTCTAAGCATAATTGGGGACAACTTCATAATCTGGAACAACAATCTAATTGAGTACCTTACATGTGAGGGACTTAACAAAATACTTGAAGGAGACAATTCTGGAAAATCAATAGACGACCCAAATGAGATGGAAAAGAGAAAATCAAAAGTGAATAGAATAATCAAGCATCATCTTGATGATGGATTGCAAACAGAATATTCAAATGCTAAAAATCCCAAGATTTTGTGGGACAAAATTAAAGAAAGATTTGGACATCAAAAAATGTTCTTGTTACCCTCATTAATAGATCATTGGAACAAGTTAAGGTTTCAATATTACAAAAGTGTCATTGCATATAACTCTTCTATGCACCAGATTATAGCACAACTGGAATTTTGTGGCACAATTATAACTGAAAAAGAAAAGTTAGAAAAAACTTTTTCAACTTTTCATGCATACCAGGTATTATTGCAACAATAATATATAATGAGGGAATTTACTGAATATTCTGATTTAGTTGCAGCCCTTCTAGTGGCGGAACAAAATAACGAGCTCCTTACAAAAAACCACCAGTCACGATCCACTGAAACAATAACATATCATGAAATTAATGTCACAACCTTTAATCGTGGGTGTGGTGGATTTAATCATTTTAAGAGACGTGGTGGCCATGCTCGTTTTAATGGTAATAAAGGTCGTGCTCGTTTTGATGGTCACAATCAAGGAGGATATCATGGTCGAAACCTTTTCCACGGTCGAAACCATTTTCGTGGTAGATGACGTGGAATAGGTTATATGAATAATTTTGGATCTCCTAGATATGACCAAAATAATTAGAATCGCCAAGGAAAGGGTAAGTATAGCCAAGAAGGTCCCTCGAGAAATTATGAGGATGTATACTTCAGATGCGGAAAGAAAGGCCAATGGTCTAAGGTGTGTAGAACACCATATCATTTGTGTAAGAGACAAATGGCATTTGTAGAGGAAAAAGGAAAAGAAGTGAACTTTAATGAAATTGAACCTTGAAAGGACAATACCTATTTTGAAATTGCTGACTTCGTTGAAGGATCAATGGATTAAGTAACTATTTGAATAATGTGTGATATGTTTGTATTATTTTATATTTGGACTAAGTATTTTTACGTTGTATCTTATGTTTTGCATAAAATAATAATGTTAAATATGTTGTTGATTTACTCTCTATTTAGCCTTATTTTTATTTTAAGAAGGTTAGACATGGAACACATCAAAGACATATGCATTCCACACAGTGGAACTACCCATACAATCCTCAAAAGTAAGAAATACTTTACTGAAATAAATCCTACTAAAGGTGTAATAAATACAATATTAGGTCCTACAAATTTGATTGAAGGAACGGGTAATGCTATGTTCATATTACTAAATGGGACAAAATTTATCATTAATAATGCTTTATACTCTCCAAAATCAAAGAGAAATTTATTGAGTTTTAATGACATATATCATCAAGGATATGATATTGAAACTACAACTGAAGGTAATATGAAATATTACATTAATATCTCTGCCAATATTTTGGGAAAGAAGAAAGTTTTAGAAAAACTGCCAAAATTTTGGATTACATTATACATATATACATGAAATTGAATGTAATTTAGTAGTAAAAGAAGATCCCAAAGTTATGAATTTATGGCATGACCATTTAGGTTACCCTGGTTCAACAATGATGCGTAAAATAGCGGAAAGTGTGCATGGTCATCCATTGAAAAGTTTAAAACTTAATAAAGAAGATATACCACGTGAAGCTTGCTCTCTTGGAAAACGAATAACAAAGCATTCACCAGGTAAGATTCAGACAAAACTACCGACATTTCTTGAAAGAATTCAAGGAGATATATGTGGACATATCCATCCATCGTCAGGACCATTCAGGTATTTTATGGTATTTATTGATGCATCTAATAGATGGTTATACGTATGCTTACTGTCAAGTCGTGATATGGGATTTGCAAAATTTCTTGCACAAATAATTAAACTTATATCTCAATTTCTTGACTACACTATAAAGAAAATTATACTTGAAAGTGCATGTGAATTTACATCAGAATCATTTAATAATTATTGCATGCCAATTGGAGTTACTGTTGAACATCATGTTCCTCATGTGCATACACAAAATGGTTTAGCCGAGTCTTTAATCAAACATATCCAATATATTTCTAGACCATTAATAATGAGAACTAAACTAACAGTTACAGTTTGGGGTCATGCAATTTTACATGCTGCATCACTCATCCGCCAATGGCCAAGTACTGATCATAAACATACCCCTTATCAACTTGCAATTGGTAATGAACCAAATATTTCTCATTTAAAGATATTTGGTTGTGCAGTATATGTCTCAATATATCCACTACAAATACTTGTAGCAACTTCTTCAAATCATGTTGAAGTAATTATCCTTCATGAAGCAAGCAAAGAGTGTAAATGGTTATGATCGATAACTCGACATATCTACAGAGCATATGGTTTACCAATTGATAATAACCCAACTATTTTGTATGAAGACAATGTTGCATGTGTTACCCAGATGAAAGAAGGTTACATAAAAAGTGACTGAACCAAGCATATCCCTCCCAAGTTTTTCTCATTCACACAAGAACATGAAAGAAATAAAGAGGTTGATATTCAGTATATTCATTCAAGTGATAATGCTGCAGATATCTTTACAAAGGCACTTCTTACATCAATTTTTAAGAAGCATGTACAAAATATTGGAATGCGTCACCTTCGAGATCTTTAAAAAAGAATTATATGTTTTCTGTTGAGGGAAATCGTAATGTTGTACTCTTTTTCCCTTATTAAGGTTTTTATCCGAATGGATTTTTCTTTATAAGATTTTTAACGAGGCAACGTATGTTCCCATAAAATTTTCTTCAACAAGGTTTCAAAGGAGCATCATGATATATATTTCTAAGGGGGAGTGTTATAATAATGAAGAGTATTATTATAATTATTTAGAAATTGCTATCTAATAGTCAAACTTAAAATAGTAATGACAAATTATTGGTGATGTATAATTTGTCAAAGATAGAATAGTAATAACAATTATAATAGTAATACTCCTTTGATAAATATAAAGTATACCAAATTTTATTTTGAAAGATAGAAAATATCATTCCACTTCCTTCATCATTTTCTCATAATTGGATATCATAAATATTATATTTAATTTTTCAACTAAGTTAAAATCAAATATCTAGCTTTTCGAGACACATAACACATTGATTTTCTCTATTTCTCCATTCTTGTCATTAACGTTTCAAGTTATTCCCTCTATTTTCTCTCTCTAGTCTATTGGGTATATAAGGAAAACAGATCCCCAAAAACATTTTCCATCTACAAATACGTTGACTACATCTCCACTTGAATAACTATTAACCAACGTGTTACAAAAAGTAAATGGTACTTAACTCTTGAAACCTCGAACTCATAAACAAATCTAAATCATAAACAAAAAACGAAGCCACGGAGAAGGAAGAACCATGTGAAACTATTTAATGACACTGATCTCACTTCACTAGTAGTGCTAGATTCACTTCTTATGCCGCAAGAAACGCACGAACTGAAAAATATATATTACCCCAACCTCATTACTCAACTCACTCATTGTAGCATCCAATTCACTTCTCATTATCATTTCAACATTTTTACTAATAATCATGGCAAGGATTGTGTTGCTGTTAATGGCCCTTTCCTTGATCTCCATCCCCCCTTTACTTGCTACAGCATTGTTTCATGTCAAAGGTTCTGTTTACTGTGATACCTGTCGCGCTGGATTCGAAACCAACGCCACCTTCTACATTCAAGGTATAAGGAACAATGCTTATAATGAATGTATGATCGTTTTATATAGCAATGTTCTAATGTAAAAAAATATAGTAGTGCAGTTTATTGTCCGTTTGCTTTCTATTTATTATAAATTTTATTATATCGTAGCTAAGTTGTAACTAATTTATTTTGGTGCTTGTTAATTAGGTGCAAAGGTGGGAATTCAGTGCCACGACAGGAAGACGATGGACGAAGTTTTCTACACGGAAGGAGTGACAGATTCGACCGGAACATACAACATTATGATTGAGAATGATCACTATGACCATATTTGCAAATGTGTGCTTGTTAGTAGTCCAATAAAATCTTGTAATACACCAGATCCCGGGCGTAACAGATCTAGCATTGTTCTTACTCACTACAAAAATGGTGTTCTCAACCATCTTCATTATGCGAATTCTATGGGTTACTTGAAGGATGAGCCATTGCCTCAATGCCACCAACTCCTCAAATATTACTTGTCTGATTCAGATATATGATCAATAAGAAATATCTGTTTTTGTTCTGTTTATTATGCTTTATTCCCTACTTACTATGATCAATAAGAAGTGTAGTTACTATTTACAATTCAGTTTTTCTTTGTTTAAGTAATTAGGCCACTTAATGGTATATATTAACTATAATATGATGTATTGTTGATGAAGTTTTACAATTTAATTTAATGTGGTAGTTGATTACTACTAGTTACAATTTAGTTATACACGTAGATACTTATAAGTTACAACAATGTCCAGTGGTAGATATTATTCCGGTCTGATCAAGATAGTTTCGTATTGTTTGAGAATCGTGATTAAGGATAGTTTAAATACAAAATTCATACACCTCAAACTAACGAAGCGTCTTTTTTAAAAGATAAAGCAGTACTTTTTAAACCAAAAACATATATTACTTTATAGGCGTAGTGACGAAGACTTAAAATGAATTGAGATAAAAATAAATTGAATTAACTAACAAATTATTCATTACTTCTTTAAAAATGATCACATCACAATTTAAGAGTTTCATAATATTTATGATCTCTCTTAATAAAACACTACAATACATTCCACTGTGATAATCAATAAGAAGAAAACACTCCACAAGGTGGTATTGTGTGTCCTATAATTTCTTTATTATTAGTAACAAATATGCTAAGAGCTAAGATAAAAATATGGTAAATGGATTGTTAAATCCATAAATCTAAAGCCTTACAACAAATTAAAGTCCCAAATAGAAGTGAACATTTTATTTAGTATTATTCTGGATGGTATTGATATTTAAAGTCCCAAATAGAGTTTTCTCCTTCCTCTTGGCCATGTAAATTATGTGCTGGATTTTGAGGAATAAAATCCATGTTGTGATTACCTTTCACCATTTGAAGTGCAGCTTCCAATTCATGATCATCCACCTCATTCAACCAATGTTCTACATCCCATCCAAATCTGCCACCTTCAGTATCTCCCATCTTCAACCATTCATCATTATTTTCAATTCTTGCTTCACAATCAAGCAAGTTTGCAAAACTCAGTGGTAATTTATTCTGTGGAAACTCCGCATCATCGCCACCAACATCAAACACACACTTCCTTTTCTCACTTCTGCTACTGCTACTACTACCACCCGAGCTTTCACCTTCCTCCGAAATCGACATTTTAAAACACTTATTAGTCACACCAAGCAAAGCTTCTTCTTGGTTCATAACCTTACACCAAGTAGCACTATCTCTTGCTGTCATCTTATCTTGCAATGTCTTAGACTGAGTAACCAACCTCCTTAGTTTCTCCAAATCAGGTGACATATGTTTTATAACACCAGCTAAAACAGAAACTTTCCATGCTTTTTTAAGATCATGCGGCTTTTTATAAGGTGGCGGACCTTGTTCCTGAGCCAATAAACCTTGTTCGCCCCACCAAATTTCCGACCCTGTGGGCCACCACGGAGGAGATATTCCTCTTTCCAGAGGAAACCTTCTCTGTGGTGGCACACAATGTTGCATTAAAGCTGAAAGAAGCTAACCAAGAGTTGAATCTTGTAAATCTTGAAGGAGGTGTATGTAAGTGTTCGAATCATCCATCATAGTATTAAACTGTTCGGCTTTTCCAAGAAGTGGTAAGTATTTCGCGACCGCGAGAGGCGCGCTTTGATCAAAACGGATTTGATCTTTCCACCATTCGCGTAAACTATCCGAGGAACCTGATACTGGTTTACCTTTTTCTGGGATGATTCCGTAGACGAAACCTTTAGCTTTGCAAACATCCATGATTTTTGCCATGTACTTGAGAACTGAGTCTTGTGCTCTTGCCATCTTTTTCCTTCTAGATGCCTCTTGTTTCGCTTGTTGCTCAGGCTCAGTGTTGTTGTCTTCTTTTTCCTTGAATTTTTGTAGAAGGATCTTGTCCTTCCACATGCGTTTCTTCAGCTCCTCATAGTCCACACTTTCTATTTCTGTTTCTGTTCCTTCTTCTGCATAAGGGTCGCTTTCTTCGCTGATCACCACCATGGCTAGCTTGAGTTATAAGAAACGTTAGAAATGTGATTAAGACATATAAGAATGAAGGATTTGTGTGAGAGTTTTGTTTTGTATAGTTGTGTTTATATATGAATTTTGATGAATGGCGGTGTTTAGAAAATTAAATGAAGATGATAAGGAAACAACCAATATATTTGCGGAAATGGTGGAGTTAGTGCCAGGTGTGTGTTGTGTTTTATGCATGTTTTGTTCACTGCTGTTTACGAGTTACAAGATTGATTGTTTCTGCATCTGATTTCAGTTAAGTTTATGACAATGTTGGTGATGATTGATGATTAGATTTTGAGAGTGATTTTCTTTTACTCAATGTTTTATGAGAGTGAGTGATAGATTGATGAGTTTGTTGTGTGTTTGTGAATGATGTAAGGCCAACGTGAAACAACACATGTAGTAATAATTTAGGGCAATATAATGGATAGGTTCTAACTCTTAAGTTAGTGAAGATTCTATGATGTTGAATTTTGAATATTTGGTTTGGTCCATAGAGATGAGAAATCCCTTTCTTCTTCTAATAGCTAGTTTTTTTTATTCTATCAAATGTTTTTATTTTGATTTTAACTCTTGTTTTGATGCGGCCTTTTGTTTGACTGAAAATCAACAATTTTTTATGTTGGTCTTTTTTTAGGATCATGTGTTACGTGGACAGAGATTTTTTAGGATAATCTTTTATTTTTAGGAGTGTCTTTCACACTCTTAGAAATTCGAAAATGTCATTCATGGGCACATCCAAAATCATATTAAATTTCGTTTTTTTTATTTAGATTTACCCTATATTACAAAAAAAACATGGTACAAAGATACATCTCCGTATAATATTTGGGTATATTTGGAGAAGTGTCTCCAAAATATCTCATACGCTCAATTATTGTGTTTTTATTCACTGACTTGGTTAAATTAATGACTCAGTGATATTTACAGAGATGCATATCCAAATATGTCAAGCGAGAAATTGGAAAAAACACCACCTTGCATAATCTTCATCTCCATACTCAAACAACACTCCATTTTCAAAACTCTTAAAAATGTTTGATGTGGTCTGGATGTTCATATTTATTACATCAAAGGGAGCAAAACAAGCTGGATTTGATGGTAAAGTTGACTCAATTAGTCTTTTATTCCTAGCATTAATCTTGTTTATGAGCAGGAAAAATGGACGTTGAATATAGATATGCATCTCCAGAAGAAGTTTGATGTGGTCTGGATGTTCATATTTAGGTTGTCCTAATAGTTTGAGTTTTCACACTATTTTTTTGTTGGTGGTATTAGATGTGGTGCACACATATATGTTTCCCAAATCTATTGTGAGTGTGGATGTTAAGCCGATTGAAGTGAAGCATGATGTTAAACCGGATGAAGTGAATGATGATGTTAAACCAGATGAAACGAATGATGATGTTAAAATGGGTGTCAAACCGGTTGTTGTTGAGGTAGATGTTCGTGCACAATTTACAAATAAAGAAGAGTTTATTGTTTGTGAACATATGCTACAATGGATCCGTAGGGAGGACAGAAAATTGGGGTTTGGCGTTGTAATTGGAAGGTCTGACAATGGTTCGAATAGAAGGCAAGCATTTGTAACAATGATATGCGAAAGAAGTGGCATGTACCAACCAAGAATTAGGAAGTTGAAACGAGATGAAACTGGATCGAGGAAATGTGAGTGTTCGTTCTAATTAGGGATACCGTATGGAGGATGAGACATGTAAATTTAATGTGATCTTTGATATACATAATTGTTCTGGACTGGGCCCGACAGGCCCAAAAGCATTACTAAGGCCCAGTCCAAAGGGACTCACTAAGGACCACACTGGGCAAAGGGGGTCGCGTCCATGCCCGACACCCTGATGTCCACCTCGACATCTCAATGTCCAGCCCCACGCAGTGAAGTCATGCTCGACACCCTGCCGTCCGACTCTGTGTCCTGACGTCCAGCTCGACACTCGCTGTTCAGCTAGAGGTCTTGGCGTCGAGCTCGGCACCGTGCAGCGCAGCTCGACATGATCTCGAGCTACCTGGCTAGGGCAAACTCAGTCCACCGTTGCCCCAACGATACTCCGGAAAGACCGCGTCTCTGTCCGCCCGCACTTCACGCACCACATCCAGGAAGGGGACCACGTGCTGGTCCCCACTACCCACGTAGAACCTGGCAGTTCCTCCATTGGGCCAAATCCGCCCGGCCCAATGAAGGAACCTTGGCCCAGCGCTGGGGGCTATAAATACCCTCTGCTTCCAGAGGGTCAGGTATTCATCATTCTAACCTCAACTCTATTATCTGCTCGTACTCCCACTGACTTTAGCATCGGAGTGCCTTGCAGGTACCCCCCCTCCTCGTTCAAAAAGCCTTCAGCTCGGAGCAAGCCGTGACGGTCCAAACCTTCTGATCAGGTCAGATCAATAATCATGCCTTAATTGACAAGCTATTCAGTCATCCCATTGTATGTCTCCTTGTTCCGGAGGAGAGGGAACTTGTTTCAAAAATGACATTAAACATGGAGGCGCCGAAAAACATACTCGCTTATTTGAAACAGAAAAGACCTTTAAATGTTTTAAATATCAAGAAAATATACAACGTGCGTGCTCGAGACAAAAAGGCGGTATAAGGACCAAGATCAGATATGCAACTAATATTAAAGCTTTTAGAGAATGAGGACAATGTTTCTAGGTACAAAGTTTGTAAGGATAAAGTCACAGTTCAAAATTTATTTTAGAGTCATCCTGATTCGATCAAGTTGTTCAATACATTTTCCACCGTGCTCATAACTGATTCAACATACAAACCAAACAAGTACAGATTTCCACTATGGGAAATTGTTGGTGTTACTTCTATGGAGATGACTTATTCAGTCACTTTTGCATTTTTGGAATCTTAAAAAGAGGACAATTGTTGTACCTCAAAATTTTTCCTCCCATTTTTTAAGACAATTGATTCAAGACACCTCCTCGTGCTTCTAGGATTCTCAATTGCTCAAAATACTCAAGGGTTTGAGCATACAAGCACCCCCCCCCCCCCCCCTAAGCAATGGCCTACAATTAGGGTTTTGGTTTCCTCAATGAAAATTGGACTCCTAATGCCTCAAGTGAGTTTCATGGTTTCTCATATACTTCAAGGTACCCTCGTGACAAGTTTCAAGCCTTGCATCACAAATTTTCTCAGTCAATTGCTCAGATAATTGAAAATCAACTATATTGGATAAAAAGTCAAATATGGTCAACATACAGTCAAACTTCAATATTTTTGGTCAACATAAATATTTTGAAGTCACATTCATCATTTGATCAAGGGTTAATTATGATTCATCAAGAAAACTCAAGATTCATAAAAAGACAAAAGTTATCAAATTAGGGTTTTCTTAAAGAGAAGTCAACTGAACTTTAACCAAGCATAACTTTCACATGCTTAATCAAAAATTCCTCAACCAAAGCCTATCTTAAAGGAAATTCAATTATCTACAACTTTGTCTCTCTAAGCTCAAGGCCAAAAATGCTTCATTTGGGAGATATACACCAAAAATATGAACTGAGATTTTTAGAGCATTTAAACTTTTTTTCCCAATATTTTCTTATTTTTTTTGCTATTTATTTTCTTAGACAATTGTATAGGTATCATAATTTAATGTAATAGTTTAGATTTACATCCCCGTATTTTTCTAATTATGTAACTCTTCCAAAGTTATGTAATAGTGTAGATTTACATTTTCGCTTTATCTTTTGTCTTTATATGTTTGTATATATATAACTGCTAGTAAATAGGCTTGTATGATAAGAATAAAATCAAACATAGATAACCTTAATTTTTAAGATAACATAACTGAAACCAATACACTTTACACACTTCACCTCTAGGGTAACCTCTCTCTGTTGCCTTGCGATACTAATGGTCACGTCCCACGAAAACGGGAATACTTTAGCAAAGACCCTCGGTTAAACAATATCATCATGGTCCCTTTCGAATAAAGATCATAATCCCTCAATGACCCTTCGAGTTTTCTACAAAATGATCTAGTCCCTTAGATGACCCTACGAGAAAAATGATGATAGTCCCTTCGAATTTCTAAAAGTATTCTTACATGTTGCCTTCTATGACCATACGACGACCCTACGACTGTCCCTTCACATCCAATATATAGGGCTACCTACCAACTAATGGTATAGATAATACTTTCTCTAATGAAGAAGGAAAAGAATAAGAACGATCTTCAGTGGGTAAGGAACTTTTAATCGCTCTCTCATAACCTTTTTCACAAACAAAACATTTTTACGCATCACACTTTTCAAACAAAATATTTTTCAAACGCTTTGTACGCATTCTTGAGGACTGATATAAGAATCATTACAAAGTAGGCCTTACTATAGCTTTTCAAAATATTTTCAAACAATCACACACATAAAGCAAATTTCAAAAAGTGAGCTAGCAATTAAAAGCCCGTAGATAACTACGGATGAAAAGGTGCTAACACCTTCCCTTTTCATAACTTACCCCCCGAACTCAAAATCTATCAAGGTCTTTCCTATTATTTTCACCCTTTCCTTGTTGGATAAAATAAAAGTCGGTGGCGACTCTTGCTAACCGCAACATTTACGATAAAATGCTAAAAAGTCAGTTCTTCCACCGTATTACAACAACGTTACATGGACTTTGGAAATGTGTAAGTCTATGTTAAAGGACCAAGAAAATATGCCACAAGTTATAATTACCGGTCGCAACACCGCGCTGATGCGTTTGGTACAATGGTGTTTCCTACATCATCCATATTACTTTGTAAGTATCACATAACCAAAAATATGAGAAGTCGAGTAAAACATGTGGTTGGCACGAAACAAGTCAAATGTAAAGATGGAAAATTTGTCAAATTTGGTGTGGTGGGGGAAAATATAATTGATGCATGAAATCCTATAATAAATTCTTCCACAGAAGAATTATATGCCAAATTTATTCTATATTTCAAGAGGGTGTGTGTGATATATCCATA